CGGCTCCAGCCCGCGGTATGGAGCTGGAAGCTGGGGCTGAGCCGTGGGTGAGGCTTCCTGCGGTGGTGAGTGACGAAGGGGCTCACTTAGCGTTATTTTTCCTCCTGTCCTAGAGCTCTGGATCTCGGAGTCTGTGGAAGAAGTGCGACATGTCCCTGCCGGAGTGGCACATCGCGGTGAAGCTGGCGGACCAGCCGCTGGCTCCTAAATCCATCCTGCACCTGCCGGAGACGGAGCTAGGCGAGTGCCCGCTGGGAGGCTGTAGCATCTCCCACCTGAAGCAGCTCATCACCGGGAAGCTGCAGGAATCCGTCCCGGACCCCGAGCTCATCGGTGGGTGCCTGTCTGGCTCCTGCCACCCTCCTGCCGCTTGGGGACAGCCTTTGCCCGTCCTCGCTGCGGCTGGACATGAACATCCTGCTGGGAGGGCCCAGAGGTCTGAGTACCGTGTTGTTTGGATAGCTTGTTCCCTGTTTCCTTGGGATCACAGCGCTCCTGCGGTGTCAGTGCCCTTGTTAAGGAATCTTGGGGCTTGCTAACACCGCTGTGTCCTTGTGGGATCTCGCAGGAGAACTGTGAGAAAAGTCAGCTCTTCTAGAAGAGGTGGCAAAGTCGTGTGTATCAGCTCCATGATTTCCTCCCTGACCCTCAGTTCCACAATTTCCCTGGGTTGTTCCCTGGCCAGAGGGAGCAATAACCTCCAGATCTCTAAGTCACACTTGGAAATCCTCAGCCCTTTCTGAGAGTGCCACAGGTATTATCTTTGGGGGTTTCTCTCCCCTAGACCTGATCTACTGTGGCCGTAAGCTGAGGGATGAGCAGACCTTGGATTTTTACGGCATCCAGTCTGGATCCACAGTCCATGTCCTGCGCAAGTCCTGGCCAGAGCCTGATCAGAAACCAGGTGAGGAGGAAGAGAAGGCTGTGGGATTTCATCTTGGGATGTGTTTTAAAGGGCCTGAGGAACAGCTGCTGTCAAGATTCCTTTCTGGGAGGCTGCTCTGGAGCATTCCAGGAGGAGCTGCTCCATGTGTTTGTGTGGGAACTCCTCAGCTCTA